CCTGAGGCCACTTTGCTTCTGAATGAAAGGGTTTTCAGAAGTGTTGGGTGTTTAGCCCCACAGCTTTACAGATCACAGAATCACAGAACATTAGGGATTGGAAGGGACCTCAAAAGATCATCTAGTCCAATCCCCCTGCCGGAGCAGGAACACCTAGATGAGGTTGCACAGGAAGGCGTCCAGGCGGGTTTTGAATGTCTCCAGAGAAGGAGACTCCACAACCTCTCTGGGCAGCCTGTTCCAGTGCTCTGTCACCCTCACTGAGAAGTTTCTTCTCAAATTTAAGTGGAACCTCCTGTGTTCCAGTTTGTGTCCTTTACCCCTTGTCTTATCATTGTTTGTCACCGAGAAGAGCCTGGCTCCATCCTCGTGACACTCACCCTTTAAAGATTTATAAACATGAATTAGGTCTCTCCTCAGTCTCCTCTTCTGCAAACTAAAGAGCCCCAGCTCCCTCAGCCGCTCCTCATAAGGGAGATGCTCCACTCCCTTAATCACGCCTTTGATTCCCTGGGTCCTTGGTCTTGGAAATTCTGTTTGGACAAGGTAGCACTTTCTTCTGGCTGGAACAAAGTGACTTAGTGTTCTTTACTGGCTAAAAGCCCTCTTTAGGCATTGGGTCTTCTTATTTTAAATGAAACTGATATTGCATGTGATTTGCTGGTTCCTCACTCTTGCAGGGCCTTACCCACAGGTTCCAATGATCTTCAAAGAGCTTCAAATGGAAGGGTTTATTGTGTCCCGCTGGAATAACCGCTGGGAGGAAGGTCTGAAGGCATTGCTAAAATGGGTTGTGGAAGTAAGGAAGGAAGGAGTTGTTTTCTGTAAGGTGTACTCACACCACAGCTTCCCTGTTTGGAAGGGGTCTGTTGTCACAGCTGTTGACATGCGGTCCCAGTATGATACTTTTCATCCACCTAACTTGATCTTTGAGCGTTTCAGGAACACTCAAACTATAGCGAACATGCCTTAATCCTTTCAGCTTTGTAGACACCTATGTTATTAGCTTATGGACTTAGCTATATTTCATAGTATCTGTAGCCTTTGAAAAAGGATGCCTCCAGAGTTTTAAAACACTGCTCTAGCAATGAAGAGATTCATGGTTAGAGTAATTCTTCTAATTCTCACTCAGAAGTCTCCTTTCATTTGTAATATAAGCAAGGATTTCCATTGTAGTGTTATGCTGAAATTACTGGCAAGAATGGATGTTTTTATGGAATTAGAAGCTGGGCTTTAAAGGGGCTTAATAGGAAATTTCTTAAATTTTATTTTTCTAAATGAAGGCTGAGTTTAACACTTGATTCATGTCTGTGAAAAGCTTATGAGTGTTAACACTAAAGGCTAAGAGACTCTAGCTTTTACAAACATGAGGACTTGGGATGGCTCAGCTTTTGATCATTTGGATTTGCAATTCCATACTTCCTTATTGGGAAGGACTGTCTTTGGGGAAATAATCCTCTACCCGTTCATTGTTTGGGGACCAAGTAGCACTAAATCTGTCCTGGTGTGTTATCAATGACTTTTGCTCCTGGTTCTGACTCCAAGTAGAAAGTCTTGCCACAGAAGCAGATCTTCACAACAGCCTACCTAGTTTTGCAGAGTTATCCTGGTGGGTGCCAGCTTGCATGTTTCAGATGAGCCATACAAGCTGGAGAAAATCTGGTTGCAGTTTAGTCTTCTGAAGATAGTAAAAACTAGGCTTCTGATTAATGAAAACTCAGCAATTTCCTTTCTTCCTTTTGACAGGGAAAAGTGAAGTGCCATGAAAAAGTCACTGAAGGATTTGAGAACATGCCAGCAGCTTTTATTGGAATGTTAAAGGGAGATAATATTGGAAAAGCTGTTGTAAAAGTCTGAAGGTCACGTATTCCTGGGAGACTGGGTCAGGAGAATGTGATTATGTTAAGTGCTTTTAACTCACTGATTGAAAGGCATGTTTCAGTCTTTTTGCTGGACATTTGGTGATGATAACTTCTGTTAATAATTGGGCTAATATGTTTAAGTATATGACAGTGGCTTTGCACGTGAAGAAATTCAGAGCTGCTTCTCAAAGCATCTTAAAATTGCTGAATCTCCTCAGAACTGTGACAGATTTAGTAGTAGCTTGAACCTTTCTGCGAGTTGGTTTGTAGAAAAGAAAAGCAATTCCAAAAGCTTTGGCAGCTGATGGCACATTTGATGACTTTTAACTTATTGATTTGGCCCAGAACCAGGCCAGACGGATTTTTTTGAACTAACATCAAGGAGCAAAGAACAGGCTAACAACACCTGGGGGTTCCCATCATCCTCACACAGCTGACTTTTCTTCTTACCTTTCATCAGGAAATGTAGATAACTCAGTTATTCTGAGATTATGGAAAGAAAAAATAAATCAATTAATGGATACTTTGCTTGTGTTTTAGTTCTGTTTGTGGTATGCCCTCCTCTTCCCTTCCTTACAGTGAACATAGCATGGCTAAAATATTACAAGCACTTGTTTATCCCAGAAGATCTTATATTATGGGTGGCATGCATAGGTCACTTATTTCCTTGAGTAATTTGGTCATTGGTATCCAAGCCTAGAGTTGATCTTGCCATGGTGTTCACCCTGCCTCTCCTGGAAGATAAGACCAAGATGCTGGCCCTAGCGGTGTTAAATTGGTATCCAGGACCCACGTGGTGCTGAGTGAAGGAGACACACAGGATAGCAAAGATAAGTATCTTAGATGCATTGAAAAAGCCACAACAGGAACCTGTTACTATGGCATATGTTGAAGGTGATGGTGAGCCATCTTCAACTACTGTGGAGGGCTTCTTGATTAATCTTTAGGTCTCACTATTGAGCTGTGAAGAGGGATCCTAAGGGGCCTTAATGTCTTTGCAGTGCCAGGATTAGATGTTCTGTCTATCAACAAGAAGAGATCACTTAAAATGTAGATCAACCGATACTTGCTCAGTGCACTGAACAAAACATACATCCTGAAATACAAATTGCCTGGCCATGGGGGAAATGATGCAACTTGGTACGAGTAGGGAGAGGTTCTGGTTGCTTTATAGTGTTTTCTGAGGACAATGTATTGCAAGTTTGGGTTAGCTCCAGTGGTGTGGTTTTCAACTGGCCCCCGAGAAAAACCTATGGATTAACAATGTTGCACAGCATGGGAAATGGCAAGCCAGAAAAGGTATTTTGTTGTGAATAGACTCCAGATTCAGTGCATAGAGGTCTGCTGCTGTTTGGTGTTTTTATCTTGAGAAATTTTCAGAGGGCTTGCATGTCCTAAAATACAGAATTGTTTTAAGTCCAGTGAATTCACAATTCTATTGTTTCAAGTAAAGTTGTGATTTGGGAATGAACTAAAAACAGCCACATGGAATTCCTGCCCTTTGGTCACAGTTGCAAAAAGATTTGTCAGTCAGAATAATTCTGGCTCAGTTTCTTTCCTATAAAATACTGACGTGTATGGTCTCCTCACTATCTGTGTATAGATTTCATGCTTCATGAATCGCAGTTGATTTTGCTAGTCTGTTTTACCCTCAAAACATATTTTTGTTTTGCAAAACCAAAATTGCACCAAACTGCCCATCTCTCAATTTCACCGGGGAACACAGCTATTTCCCCCTGAAAATCCAAGTTTTCTGTTGTGCACCAGAAACGCTGCCAACATGTGAATAATGACAATAATATCCCCTGTGGTCCAGCACTGTTTGGAGTAGTTTCTCACTGTGAGTTTGGTTGTCCAGCTCTGGTCTTTTTGTGCTGCTTTTCTCCAGTCTGTGCCACTACCCAAGTTACACTTCAAAAGTAGCCTCCACAGTGGGGTTTCCGAGGCTGTTTACGATCCCCTTTCATTGAGGATATGAGAGCAAGAGGAAGAGTTTATTTAATAATCTTAAATATAAATGGCTGCAGGCTTTATCACCTGTTAGCTAAATAGCTATTCATTTTTGCCAGTGCAAAACGAAACAGTCTCTAGCTTAAAGGTGGTCCAGTCTAATAAATATTGCAACTTTTGTGTTCTGTTCCTAAGCAAATTCACTTGGGGCTGGTGGCAATGACTTGTCCAAGCTCAGAACACAGTGGGGACCAGCCCTGAGGAGTTCACCATGGCCTGTCACACCACAGGTAGCCTCAGTAAACCCTGGGAACTGCTGCAAAGAGCTGTGGGTTGCTGAAACCAAGATAGCATCCTGGAGTGCACTGCTGCCTGCTGAGCTTGTCTCATGGTCCTCCAGGGTGGGTGCTCACAGAAGGGGTTGGGACAACTCCATTCTCATATGAGCCCTGTTCTCCAGCTGAATCAAATCCAGCCTTAAAACTCCAGCATCTCTGATGCAGCCTGTGCCGAAGCAAGCAAGATCCTTTCCTCTTGCCTTTCTCCCATGACCCCAGGCTGCAGCTGTTAATTTCTCACACCCCCATACAACTGGACAGCATCAGGTCCAATCAGGTCACTCACAGCCTTGCTTTCTGCTGGCCATTGATAGGACAATAATTGATGGTTGTGATAGGACACCTCCTGTCCCTACCCTCAGCCCCTCATCACTAGCTGAATGTGGGCTCTCATTCCTCGTAAGCTGAAAGCCTTTGGGGCCATCCTGCTAGGTGCCTGCCAGTTCAGAGGACTGTTCATGGCGCCAATCCTTGCTCTTCCCCCAGGTTCTTTTCTCAGATGAACTAGAAACAGATGCAAAGAAAGGTGAAAACCCAAACTTGATTGCTTCCCTGAGAAAATGTCATGGAGTGAATCAAGTGAGGGGTAGACAACCCAAGCCTGGTCTAAAGTTTGACCCAATGCCTGGCTTCTCCACCTCCATAGGGTCTGTTCACACATCTGCCACATCCACCCCACCCCAGATGCTCCAGTTCCAGGGGTCAGGCAGATGGTGCCACCTGGATAGTGGGAATCCACCCCCCATGCATTCTCCTATAGACTATCATCTCAGTGTCATCAGACAGGGAAAAGCACAAGGCATTCCCAGAGCCAGTATGTGTATAAATGTATGCATAAATAGAGAGAGTCACTGCCACCTTGTGGAGATTTCCATGTCACAAATTTGTCTTCACCAGTTGCAGGTAGAGATTAGGCTTTATACTCCCATGCATACTTTTTCTTCTATCTACCATCTTGGACCATTTCAGCTTTCCTTCTTCAGAGGAGGAAAAATTGCATTTCATGTGGATGTGCTTCCCTGACACCTCCACCAGACTATGTCAAGTTCCTCAAACTCATCTAGTTGATTCTTACCAAAACTAGAGGCATTTGGCTGGGTGTGCTTCTCACTTGCATGAAATCTCAATTGAAAATAAGGATGCCACAGTACAGTTCAACCTCTGCTCAGCTAAACCGAGTACAGTGCCCACTGCTTCCCCAGAGATCCTTATCACACTCTTACTTCCTGTGATACTTATGTGCTTGGTCTTCTGAGGAAGACCTGCAGATGAAGGTTCCAGCAGCTGAGGTAGAGTTGGTATACAGTATTTGCTTCAGATGAAGAGCAGAAAATCCATGCCATGACCAGACCTCTACTAAGCTTGGTGCTGTGTCAGTCTTGCACTGCCTGTTGTCAGCATGTCAATATATTAGATTTACACAGAAAGGTTTTGATAGGGTGAAAAACCACCCTGTAGACATCAAGGTCAGGGAAGGAGGAGGGGGAAGGAGGCACTCAGGGTATCAGAGGAGATATTCCCCTGCAGCCCATGCTGAAGACCATGGTGAGGCAGGCTGTCTCCTTGCAGTCCATGCAGGTTAATGGTGGAGCAGATCTCCTCCTGCAGCCTGTGGAAGGCTCCATGCCAGAGCAGGTGGATGCACTCAAAGGAGACTACAGCCTATGGACACCCACAGAGGAACTGGCTCCTGGCAGGACTTCTGGCCTGTGGAGAAGAGCACTGGAGTAGCTTTTCTGGCAGGACCTGTGGCACATGGAAGACCCACACTGGAACAGTCCATTCCTGAAGGACTCTACAGACTCCACACTAGAGCAAAGGAAGAGCAGGAGGCAGAAGGAACAGCAGACACAGTGCTATAAACTGACTGCAATCCCTATTCCCCTGCACGGCTCAGGGATAGGGAAGTAGAAGAGCCAGGAGTGAAACTGAGCCTGGGAAGAAGGGAGAGGCAGGGGAATGTGGTTATAGATTTATTCTTATTAACTGCCACAAACTAATTCCCTCAAGTTGAGTCTGTTTTGCCCGTGACCGTAATTGCTGAGTGATCTCCCTGTCCTTATCTCAAGCCACAAGCTCTTCTGTCATTTTCTCCCTATCCTGCTGAGGAGGGCGAGTGGCAAGAGGGGCTTGGTAGGTACCTAGCAGTCAGCCAAGGCCAACCCACTAGTCCATCTCTCCCATCCCTCCCCAGGGGTCACGGACCAGCACCACAGACCTGGTCTAGCAAGGATTTCACCAGCATGCTCCTCAAGCCCATTCCCTGGATGGCTGAATGCTGCATCTCATAAAGCGCAGCACAGAGGAGCTTCTGTGCCACAGCTTGCTGGCGCTGACAGAAGTTGTTCTTTGTCCTTGCTAGATCCAGCTAGTTTTGATAAATGACAAGTAAGAATTTAAACATTAGAATAATTGCAAATACTCTTGCTGGAATCATTCAAGGTGGGAATGCAAGTCTAATTTCATTCATGCCAAGGAAAGAATGAAAAGCAGATGTTAACTGAAGACAGCCTGACTGCTGCAAGAGGTATGCAGGTGGAAACAACAGTTTCAAAACACATGGATAGAGTTAAGGAATGTCATAATTTCACTGCAATCTAATCACACACAGTTCCCTTGTCTACTCACTGTGACCCCTTGGCCCTCCCCTTCATGATCATTAGTCCTCTCTCATTAAGCCTAGTTATTCCAGCCATAAGTTCCAATTGCTGTGCTCAAGGAAGTACTTCTCTTCCTGTTGGCCAACCCACTATAAGCAAGCTATGTAACAGGCCTGCAGACAAAAATATCTTGCTCTACTGGTTTGACAGCAAGGCACAGGTCCCAGCCATTTCATAGCCAAATGTAATGCAGAGCCATATGAATGCAGTCATCACCTGAGGCGAGGAAAACTTCTTCCTGGTGCTCTTACTCCCAGAGGAAACCTTTATATGTTGATTCTTCTCTGCCTTGCACATCAAGTTTATTCCAAACATTCAGATCATTTGGCTATCTACTACTCCCCTCTTAAAGGCAACTTTTCAGATGACTGGATCAAAGCAGTCCTGTTCATGCAAATAGCAGATAGAGCAGATCACTCTGCTGCATTTCTGTCTGGCATATAGCAATACTGGTCTTGCTCCTTTCCTTCACATGTAAAACAAGCAAGAAAAAAGTGCACCGAGCTCTAAGGTATTACTGAATACACATGTAGTAGGGCATACAGCTCAAGATTTTAGCAAGGCTACATCTGTGCATTCCATTTAGGGTAAAATGTTCACTTGTTATATCTACGCATTGTTAAAGACTGAAACCATATGCCCTTGCCTGTTGGAAGGCTCAGTCCTGCTCCCATCCTGAACTGGCACTCACTCCTCCCAGTATGGGCACCACTGCTGTAGGACCTGACACTCCTTTACCTCTCAGCTAGCTATAACCATTAGGCTTTGCTTTCCATCACCTATAATGACAAGGACCAACTTCAAACATCCAAATTCTGGCATAACTACACATTTGAAGAGAATATTCTTGCTGGCTTCATTAAAGGGAAAGTTTACCCAGCACACAGATCTTCACTGCATATTCCTCACAGACCACAGCCTTGCAGAACACTGCCTTTCAAATAAGACCATACGAGTTATTTTTCTCACACACCCCCACATTCCAGGTCTCCAAACAGCAGCATAGGAGGCTGCACATATAAGAATGGCTTTGTACCCCCAGTTTCAGCACAAGTTATCCCAGCCTTTCTGATCTCTCCCAATCCTATCTTGATTTCCACTCACCTGTCACCTGGATCTTTCAAGGCTATTGGAGAGTGACATCTTATTAAGAGAGTAAACAAAGCACTAAGTCACACTCCACATATGAACAGCATTTCCCATTAACTGCACATTTCCCCTGCTGCAATAGGTAACTCCCTGGTCTGGCCCCACCTCAGCAGAAATAGCGTGTTGCAGCACATCTTATACCTTCCTAATTACTTGAAGATGAAGCTGTATGTTAGAGGATCCTACTGAATTTCATCTCGACATTTCACCAGAGATTTTTTTTTAAGCTTTCTTGTTCCCAGCTACTGCTCAGAGGGGATAAGCAGGCTACCCAGGAAGTGTTAAAAAAGTAATGCTTGTTTGCAGATAGTGTGATGTTAATGGCACATTCTTGCTCCAGCTTAATTTTATTTTCTCTCCGTAAGTCTCTCCCTGGTACCACCTGGGGTAGTGCTTTCCCACTTACCTGTGCACAGTCTTAAACACAGAGCTGCACTCCTTTTAGTCAAAGAGTCAGCACTCCACAGAAAGCATTTTGCATGTCCTTCTCACATTGCATAATCACAATGCAAAGCCTACATCTAAGAAGACTCTTGATGGCTCATCCTCAACTAAAGGGTGCGGTCACTTCTTGGACTAGAAAAATCTTGTTTCAATGAGGGAACATACACAGCAAGCTGCTGAAAGGCGCCCAGCCCTCAAAAGCCAGGAAATTCATGCATTCTTGTGAAATGAGTGTAAGGCTGAGTCACACATGAGCTCCCCACCACAAAGACGAGAAGCTCCCTCATTCCACATTGTCTGCATATGTAGCAGGAAGTCTTGCTTTTTCATCAGTGATACTCAATGAGCAGCAAGCTCACCTAGCCCTAACCACAGCAGAGCCAGGCATAGCTGCTAGCTACAGCCCTGCTTCTTATTTCCTGAACTCTTATCCAGTACAACAAAGTCAGCAAGAAAGCCATTTTGATACGGTGGAAAAACACCAAGTTACTTCTTGGTAAGTCTGGGAAAAGCAGTTGAGTGGTATACTGAGACTGGCAAGTCTGCATTAATCTTGACAACCCAATGCGGGTTTGGAGGACTGCAGAGCCCAGTTTACTGTCCAGCACAAAATAGTACAGCATGTTCTAAGAAGACAGTATGTGCAGTCAGATGAAGATGACAAAAACCATAAATTTAAATTATCATAGGCTTAAGGCACTACAAGATTTATCTGTTCAGTCATTTGCTCTAGACCATTGCCTAGGAACAAAGCAGCCCAACTCAGAAACTAAACATACTTTGCTACTAATAGAACCACAAAGTACACCAATGGGAAGGCAAAACTGAAAAGCAGAAAGGCAGCAGCTCCAAGTCCTAGGATTGGTATTATGTTCTGATGTTTAACACACATCCAAGTCTTAGCTTTATAGCCCAAAATGAAGCTTGACAAGTTTTAGAAGAATCTTAAGCTAAAAAAAAAAAAAGGTAAAAGAAAAAACCTATCCCACCCAGTAAACACCTGCTTTTCTACAACTCCTAAACTCCCCTTTCTGTATCTGTGAGCCAGATCCTTCAGATTCTCTGCCGCTCTTCAGATTGAGACCCCATCTGGAATACTGTACATCCAGTTCTGGGGCCCCCAACACAAGGACACGGAGCTGTTGGATCAGGTCCAGAGGAAGGGCACAAAGATGATTCAAGAGCTGAAGCACCTCTTCTATGAGGGCTGGCTGAGAGAGTTGGGGCTGTTCAGCCTGGAGAAGAGAAGACTCTGGGGGGACCTTGTTGCAGTCTTTCAGTTCCTGAAAGCTCAGGAAGGACGTTTTACAAGGGCAGGTAGCGATAAAATTAGGGGGAATGGTTTTAAACTGGGAGTGTGTATATTTGGATCAGATATTAGGAAGAAATTCTTTACTGTGAGGGTGGTGAGACACTGGCACAGATTGCCCAGGGAAGCTGTGGATGCCCCCTCCCTGGCAAGTGTTCAAGGCCAGGTTGGATGGGGCTTTGGGCAACCTGGTCTGGTGGGAGGTGTTCCTGCCCATGGCAGGGGTTGGACTGGATGAGCTTTAAGATCCCTTCCACCCCCAACCATTCTGTGATTCTATGATTCTAGCCTGGTGAATAACACTCAAGTAAGGTGGCAGCAGACTTCTCCTAAAGCAATTGTCACTTGCTGTCCCATGCAACACAGTTTTCTATCCCCAGCAATAACCCAGTAATAGATCAGGTTACACTGGACAAGAGCCCTTGTATCCAGACAGCACTTTAACAGAGCAAAAGAACTCCGACACCTTAATGACATCATAAACTTCCTTTCTTACATTTTCAAACACAGGGCAACACCCAAAAGTGAAGAATTTACACTTTATTGTGTAATTGTACACAATTGTACACAAATTGTACTCATTTACAGAGATCAAGAGGATAGTTTCCACCACTTTAGCTAGCTAGCTTGCTTTTTTTTTTTAGTTAAGTAGAAAAGTTACAGGCTATAATTTAGCCGAAGCAGTTGTGTGTGCTTCGAAGTCTCCATGGCTTGAGATTAGACTAGACTTTTAATGGTCTCTTCCAGCTTCTCTTTGTTGGCCCCAGAGAACTCCTGCACCTGTAAAGAGATTGATTTTTAAAACTACTGCAACTAATTTTATGAAGGATTGAATGCGTAGCATCCAGACACATCTACACCCATTCAACTCTGCTGTGATTAAAATGTTTTCACCCCAAGAGTATTTTGCAATGTTCATCTTTTCATCTTCCACTCAACTCATGCAAAAACTATTCTATCAAGCATCACTTCCAGATTACCATTGCTGGAGCCTTCAACACATAAAACAACGGAAGAGACAATTGATCCTGAACCAGTGCTGTGTAAGACTCAAAACACAGGTTTGAAGAGACTCTGGAGGTCACCACACAGCAGAAGTAGCTTTAAGTTACTTTGGGTTGCTCAGCACCCTTACCAATCAAATTCTGGAAGGATTGCTCCAAGTGTCCTGAGCCTGGCTTCTCCTGTGAGAATTGTCCTTGTAGCAACTTACACAGAGGAAAGATAAAGGTAATATTCATGTCTCAAAAACAGTGGCTCTGTCTTCCAGTACCTACAGGGTGCAAAGTACAGAGCAGACTACTCTATAGGCTGTGAAACTGCTTGCTTGATAGTCATGTGTCCAGAGAACTGCCAAGGTCACCCAAAAGCCACACAATAGCATTAAGCTTATCACTTCACACCACAGCTCTTCCAACTACTTTATGAAGCTGTGGAAGGTCACCCTGAGAAAACTCTGTTAATAGTTTCATTATTAGTCACAATGTGGCCCCCATATTGATTTGAACTGAAGGTCACCTAACCTGACACTTGCTTTTCAGGAACAACTCTATTGTCTTCAGCCATGAAGCTTCCATCCAGGCACTGTTTTTACTTTAGAAAAGCCTGCCTTCAGCTTGCTTGGCAAATTAAAAGCCTGAGAACACATTTAGCTCAGCAATTCTTTAGTTCAGCAGACAGCTATTCACAACTATCCTTCAGAGACAGCCCACTATGCTGTCAGAGCATGGTTTGCATGCCATCTCATCTACCTCTTGGCAGAGCAGACACAAGAGAGCTGTTCAGTCTTCTGAGACATGACCACTTCACAGGTTACATGCCTCTATTTAAAAGCATCCAAGCAGTTGTTTCAGCTGTGTGTATAGTCAATGACATGTCAGAGACTTCTGTTTGGGTGGGATTCCACAGGCACATACAGTTATGTCTACCCCACTAACCTCACATGAAGCTCTGCCTGTAAGACTGACCTGTAACACTAACTCAGTTCACCATCTGTGAACAAGAGGGCTTGCTTCATAAGTTAACTGCTGGTCCACATTACATTTGCTGTGGCACTAAGATGAACTTGCTTGCTTTCAGGAGTGTCTTAATGCCAGTGATGCCCCAGGTACATTATCAAGAGAAAGCAGGCTACGCAGTCTAACATTCCACACCTTCTTTCAAATGTTCAGCTTGCTTGCTCCAGTTCCAAAAGAGCAGAGCCTACCTTCTTTCCGTTCTTGTAGAACTGGAACGTTGGCATACACTTCACATCGCAGTGTGCAGCAACATCCTGCAAGAGACAGAAAACCATCTTAAGCCACGCACATCTGAAGAATGTTTCATTTAGAATCCACTAGCTATCTTTTGTTTAGGTGATAGGGCAAAGCCATCACTGCTCAAAATTAAGCACTTCTGGTAGTCCATCACTAGTAAAACCGATGTGGTATTAACATCTTCCTGAAGTAAGCCTGAAACACCTTCCCTTCAGCATTTAATCCATGCAATAGCAAAACCACTTACTATACCCGTGGTCTGAGTCTGGAAGACAAAAAAGAGACCTCTGTATCAAAGCAGAGACGACTATCTGTAAGGCTCAAGAGCCCTGTGGTAACTGTGTTTCAGCCTGACATTGTTTAAGTACCTATTTAACATTGCTGCAACTGCTATGGAGCAGACACTTTGTTGCACTTAATTCAAGACATGAAAGAGGAAACAGTGCCAAGATCAGTGGAGAGACCAGACAGATCACCAGACAGTTGTGAGCCATTGGTTCTAGGAAAGATAGCATCAAAGAAGCTTAAGGCCTCAGACTAACACTCCTTCCCAAAGTAGAGTGGTAGGGTCCCCAGGTTATTTAACACATGCCATGGAGCGTCAAGAGTCCAGATAACCAAGGCAGTTTGTTCTTTTCAGGTGTTCTCTAAAAAAACACCATTCTTTTCAGTGTAAAGTGCTAAACCCCTATCTCTGCTTCTTAATCTTTTCTTGTTTCAGCATCTGCAAGGACATTTCAAAGAGTTCTTCATTGTCACTTGTGTGAAACTTACTAGCTGCCCTCTCTCAGGATCACCCCAGACCATACCTGTGCATCATCCACGTCAATTTCGATGAACACCACATCACCATACTTTTCACACAAACTCTAGAATGAAGAAACTATGCAGTTAGTGTTCCAGGAAAACGTTTAAAAAAGACACATTCGCATGAACTGTAAGGCTGCTGCTGCTTACCTTAGCAGTGAACTTTCCTTGTCTCAAAGCAGCTATTTTACTGACCAGAGTAGAAAATTTATTTTCTGCTCCAATACCCAGAAGAGTCTGTTGAAACTTGTTCAGATATACTCCCCACAGAGAATACTCAAATATCCCAAGACACAGGCGAAAGGCCTTCTCTTACAACCTTTAGTTGATCATCAAAACATACCAGGAGATAACACTGCCACTATAACACAGCTGGAGTTATTACAATAACTGTACAGAAGGATAAGCATTGTTTCTGGTCTACATTCCACCTCTTGAGGCAATGCAACTATTAGATTCCTACAGACATGAGATGCATGTAAGCATTAGGTGAGCAGAAGTTAGACCACATTTGAGTTCCCAGCTATATTTAAGGTCAGTATATTTAGCTCAATAGTCTCAAAGTAGATCCTTCTGCGATTTCTCACTTTTCCAGAAAGTGCTGGCAAAAGGAAGTTTCCTCCATGTTATTGTCAAGCAGCACAAAAACATGTGTCTATACTTTAACAGAGTGCCAATAAAAACAGAACAGCTACTTACATGGAAGAAAGGCTTGATCATTTTGCACGGTCCACACCATGTGGCAGAGAAATCAACTACTACAAGCTTCTCAGCAGCAGACTTCAGTTCTGCCTCAAATTCAGACTATAAAAAAAAATTGAACACATCAATAATTTTTCTTCTCCCTTCTGAAAGAACTTAGACTAATCCCAAAACTAGCGTGGCTCTCAGCCTTAACACACTAACCATTTTGGTAGCTCTTTAGACACTTCAGTTTAACTGGGGTATTTGTACCATTATGTAAATGCTTCAGTACGAATTGCTTTCACCACTGCTAGCGTCAACTGGTAACTTATAGCTCTTCAATTAGAAGAGACCACAATGTTCAGTCACCCCAGCTCACTGGGAGACATAAGCTAGAAATTAATCTACCCTACAATCCTTAAGTCTGACACCAATGTTTAGTGTTACCTTCTGCATGTGAGGCTTACAGTTTTTAATAACCCATTTTCTCATTCCTGTTTCGGCAGGAAGGATTCCATTTTATTCTGGGACAGACTTTCCTCTGCAGAATTTGAGAAGGACAAACTTTCATACACTCCTCAGTTTGATGCCTTTTTCCAATCAATGGCCAACAACCAAATGATGCTGTGTAGTTTACAGCATGTTTTCTACAGCAGCCTCACAGGAAAGGTATTTTACTTGCTTTGCCAGGTGAACCTGTAACATCGCTAGCCAAAGCAACACTACATAGAGTACACAAGTAACACTCAATACTTATTTAGAGCTTCAAGTCTGCTGCACTTAGTTACACCAATCATTTTTTTAACAATGTTCTTTGGAATGTAGAGCTCCTTATATGCCATTAACCGTGTTTTCTGGTCAAAAAGTGAATGTTTCAGCAGAACTGAATGACATTAAAAGCAGTGAATACTTGCATGCTAGCAAGAGGCAAACAAGAAGCAGAAAATGCTCATTAGCTAGTGTCTGACAGCATCTTTTACAGAGAAAGTAAAAACCACTTCAACATTTCTCAATTTAGTTCTCATGCCAAAGCAAATTTCAGGAGAGCTGTTAATATAAAGCAACATTGTTACTGCCACACAAACAGTTGTTGGTTTTGCAGTCCAGGAGTTAACTGATGGCAGCTTCTGCAATCAGCCACAGTAAATCAATTTTATTCTATTAAGTTATTCCCCCCATTAAAGAATGCCATGCAGGTGTGCACACAAACTGGTCACAAACCTACTTAACAAGAAAGTAGAGTGTCCTACACCACCATTCTCATGTATAAACTTATGTGAAAGTCTTCATAACTTCCACTAACTTCAAATACATCTGGCATTACACCTTCCTGCTAAGACATTTTCCCTCCCAATGTAGCTATCTTCAGAAGCACAGCCTCCACATGTTGAGTTCTTCAAACCTTACAAATTGGATAATCAGTCTACTCTGTTATCAGATCAGTAGCTAACACCCCACATCACCTACTTCCAGTCTGAAAGAGATGGAAACAGCAAGGTTTTCTGTCTCTCCACATTTCCCTATCCCTGTACTAACAGCGTGCACGAATTCCTGCACTCCAAGCCCACCAATGAAGATCAATGTCCCTGTACGCAGCAATCCATGCTGGCTGCTCCCTGCAACTACTTATATCACAAGCTCCTCAGTCAAGCCTTATTCCTCCCCAGCCTCCAATCCTAGAGCTTGTTTTTCGGTATAGCTTCTCACATCTCCGCACTGTAACATCACCACAGAATCACAGAATCACAGAACGT